CCTTGTGTGGCAGTCCATTCAGCCCTAGCGGACTGACAGACACTCCCTCAGTGTGGGTGTCCTACCTTCCTGCCATTGCATCACACCACACAGTGCTTGTTCTGTTACGTGTGCTATCTGTTTGCCCCAGGTTTGAACTGTGGACTCAGATCTTATTATACCTGCAATAGAACTCAGTCTCTAAGTCTTCCAACCTCCACTCAGCATAATTTAATAAATCATATATTTTGTTCCTTTCAATTTAGTCCAACAGATGTGCATCCAGCATCTATGAGGTACTTGGCACTGCTCTGGGCACAAAAGGTACAAAGAGGAATATGTCACATTTACCCTTTCATTCTTGTAGGAGAAACAGTCACTGAAATGCTGTACAGTGACAGGTTCTATGTTAGAAGCTTGTGCAGGGTCCCAGTGGCCCAGAGAGGCTTTGCAGAGAAGGACACTTGAGCTGCTTTGAAGGAGCAAAGTGAGAGAAGAACATTCTGGGACAAGGAACCAGCATGCACAGAGGCCCAGAGACATGGGACAGCTTGGCATGTAAGGGAAGGCAGGTGGATCTGGGGGCTGGAGGGGAGAGGCGGTATGGATGTGAAAGGGGAGAAGTGGGACTGGAACAGTCGGCAGGGGCAAGATCATGAAGAACCTCCTGGTTTAAGCTCAGGCTTTGAGTGTTTTCTTACAGACACTGGGGAACCATCGGCTGGTGAAATTAAGTGCTCAAATTTGCATTTTAGACCCCTCAACTCAGTCAGCCACAGGGAGGGTTATTTGGGGGTGGGGGAGGGACACTGGAGGCAAAGAAACTGACCAGGAGGTTGTGGCAAATAGTCCTGGTGAGGCATGGTGAGGACCCAAAGTGGGTGATGATGGAGGAAACAGGAGGGGATAGATGGGGGGAGGGTATTGAAGAGGTAGGACTGGTAGATCTTGGTCACCTATTCCTTTAGGGGAAAGGTGAAGGGGACAGAGAGTCTGTATGATCTCCATAACCATGTGGATGGTAGTAGCATTAATCAGAATGGGCAACACCAGAGAAAATCCAAATTCAGATGGGAAAAACAATGACTCAGGCCTGGACATGTTGAAGGAACATGGAGGTGATTAATTGCATGCAGGAGTTAGTGGGGGTCTTGATGAGGGCAGTTTCAGTGGAGCAGTGGTGACAAAAGCTTGGTCCCAGTGTGTTGAGGGGTGGCAAGTACAGGGCTGCTGGCTTGCACAACTGCAGGGGGTGCCATTCATATGTTATAGCATATGATATGTGTGGTGTCCCTGGGGTTGTCCGTGCAGCAGAAGAGTCAGTGACTAGAGACTGCTGTTTCAAACAGCTGATCGTGAAAGGAGTGAGAGAAGGTAGAGCTGGCCAGGAAGTTTTCAGAACCCTTGGCTTGTCTTCACCAAGGAGCAGCACTGTCCTGCAGAATACTCCAGCTGGGCCAAATGCCCCTTCTGCACACCATAGACTGCTGTGCACATCTCTATCATAGCAAGTATAGCAGGTGCCTCTTCTGCCCCACCACACATCCTCTCAGCCCCACCTCTAATTCCAGCCCCATCTATGATACCCAGTTCCGAGTGGACTCTGTCGTACTCTGTGCTGAAACAGCCTTGTCTCCATTGCCCACTGCACGTCATCTGCTCTCTTCCCTGGCTCCTCCAGTTCTGAGGAAGTCCACGCAACCCCGTGCACCAGATCAGGCTGGCTACAGTACAGAGATCAGACTATGGGAGCAGGGGTGGAAGCAGAGTGACAGTGGCCCAGTGTAGACATGACAGTGGATTTGACTGGGATGACAATGGTGGGAATGGTGACAAGAGACTGGATTCACCATCTATCTGGAAGGAGTCTCCTTCCCTTGTCATTTCACTTTTCTCTTCATCACGTTCTAGTGTGTCCAACACCTCTGATTCCTTCTTTCATCCCAGCCTATCATCCCATTTTGCCAACTCTTCTCTGTAAACGCCCTTTGAATCTGTCCCTTCCTCTCCATTCCCACTGCTCTTGCTCATTATTGTCATTTGACTGGACTATCGCATAAGCCTCTGTGATGGACTCAATGTTTGCATTCTCCGCCCATTCATATATTGGGGCTCTAACCCCCAGTGGGATGGTATCTGAAGGTGGGGCCCCTGGGAAGTCAGTAGGGTTAGATGAGGTCATGAGGGTGGGGCCCCCACGATGGGAATAGTGTCCTTATAAGAAGAGTAAGAGACACCAGAGTTTGCTCTCCCTCCACTATGTGAGGACACAGTGAGAAGGTGACCATCTGCAAGCCAGGAAGAGAACCCTCAGCAGAACTCCATCAGCTGGCACTTTGACTCTGGACTTCCAGCCTCTATAACTGTGAGAAATAAATGTCTGTTGTCTAAGCACCCCCAGTCTATGGCATTTTGTTATAGCAGCCTGAACTAAGACAGCCTGCAACCCAATTTCTCTGCTTCCTGCCTCATCCTTGTGCAGAATGTTTGTTTTTTGCATGGCCTTATCACTGATTGCTGTAACATATTTGCTAGTGTGTTTATCTGCTTGATTTTTATCTTCATAACCAGATGATACGTCCCATGAAGTCACACCTGTTTTATTCACCACTCTATCCAGGGCTGACCATCATGTCTGATGCATAGCAGGTGCTTAATAAGATGTTTGTTGAAGAAATGAGACACTGGCTACAATAAAAGCCTCCAAACAGGTCTCCCTGCCTCCGGCCTCGTCCCCTCTCATTCATGCCTTATGCTTTGGCCAGGGTCATCCTTTTAAAATCCTAATTTAAAAAAAGCCCACAGAATCCACAGTGTCCAGATTCTTGGCAAGACCTGCGATGCCAGGCAGTACTAAATGATCCAGTGACACCTAGACGCTGGAGTTAATATTACTGTTTTCAGTGGCATACAGTGACACTTTCTTCTTGGTACTTTGGGGAGAATACCTAAATCTAGTGTTGCTCTAAAATAAATGACTTTGGAAAACAAAACACTAATGTAGTCCTACCCAACCCTTCCTTGTCAGTGTTTACTGGTGCTCCCCACCACCTTTTTTGGAGATTTAGGGGAAATAAAGTGAAGATCGAGCTGATAATGAGAAAAGGTACTGTGGGTCATTAATAAAAATGCCTTTAATTTTAAACTGTGGGTTTGCTTCAAAAGAAACCTCCAAACCCACGAGCACTACAGGAAGTGAATGAGTCAAGCTTCCCAGTACCTAGTGTCCTCTAGGTTGGGGCTTGCTAAAATCAGCCCTAACTGCCTGGACCTACCTCTCACAGCTATTGGTCTGCTGTCCCTGGCAGGAACAGCCCACAGTTCCTCTTTCAGGGAACTTCCACCCAGCAGTGCAGCACGGGCTGTATGGGTTGGACCCAACCTCTTAGGGACTGTGTGTCCTCTGTGACAGTGCATGCATTAGGTCCGAGGGATAGAGATATTTTGGGAGGATGAGGCAGACTCTTTGACTATAGCTATTTACAAAGTTGGGAAAACACAGTTCAATAGAATTTCCTCTTCAGTCAATGTAGGTCCATTTCTCCTCTCTCCTTACTAAGAGGAAGTTCCGTTAGCTCATAGAAACACAGAATCACACATTCCTCAGCCTGGAAAAGCCCTAGAAGGAGGCTGCTAACTTGAAGAGCAACCGGGGCCTTCTGTGGGGGACTTTAATCCAAATTCCTGAGAAGTCTGGAAGTGTCTCATCAGCCCCGGCTGCTTGGAAGACCTCTTTCAATTTCCCCCCGGTGCTGGCTGTCCTGGCCAGGTACAGAGTGGCTTCAAAGCAGAGGTGAGCAGGCACAAACTCCCACGCATTCCACAGAAGAGAGAGGTGCAGCCTGCGCCCAGGCTCCCATCTACTGACTCCATTCTGTCCTTCAAGTTGTTCCTCCCCTTGTCTCCAAGCTGGCTCCAGTTCCTTGAAGACAATTCCTCTTATTCTCTGCATCTTTAAATTTACCCTTCGGTCAGTCTTTATCCAACTTGCCTCAGGGGCCTTTTCCATGGGGAAGCTGCCACCTCCAACACCTCATTTCCAGGAGAAAGTGACCAATTCCACTTCTATTTCCAATCTTGACAAGGAGGCCTCCAGGGCAAAAGTCTGAGCAGGTCCTAAACAGTGTGATATTAGTCAGGTTCTCTGAAGGTGATAGCATCAGCCCTTCCCCAGAACTGGCTATTTTCTCAGAATGAAAGGGGGAGAGGCATGATTGGAGATGATACAGGGGAAAAGAGATGAGGTGCCCCAGTAACCTCCTCCGGGGTCCAGCCTGGGACAGAGAGAAGCACATGGGAGCCTCGGGCCACAGGCCCTGGGCTCGCTCCACCTGCTGGGTTGAGCTCGGGGAGAGATTCAACCCACATGTGGCTTTTCGTGGAAGGAGCCTGCTACTGTTCAAATAGAGCACAGGTGGCTTCCGCACTGATGAGAAGTACCCCTGGGACACACCTCTCAGCGAGGGGAGTAGGTGACGGTGCTCTGGGGAGGTCTGTTTGCTGTCTTCCTGGAAGGGACAGGCTGACAGGCTCTCCTTTCCAAGTTGTCACAACTCACATCCAAAACAGTGCAGTGTACTTTCCACTGCTTCCTTTTCTGCCTTCAGAAAGAACCTTCTGCATATGTCTTCTCTCTTTCATTTTCAAGAAAAACTGTCCGCATCCCTTTATAGCCTCAACAGCCAACGTGCTGCACGTGGAGCACCATAGGCCGGGCACCGTGTCGAACTCTTTCTATACATGATCTCATTTAAACGTCACAACATCCCCATGAGAAGTTAGCATCCCCCATGTTACAGATGCAGAAACAGACACTTGGAGAGGATGAGTAAGCTGTCCAATGTCACAGACAATACGTGTTAGCACCAGGACTTGAACCTGGGTCTGTCTGATTTGAACCCAAGTCCTCAGTCCTGTCTCCCGAAAGCAACATCTCATATCCTATTCATTATCATCCTCAATTATCAACAACCAAGTTGTCCACCGGCCACAGTGTCATCAGAAATCTGACTTCACAAGACTCCCGTGGTCCTGACGATTTATTGGAATAAAAAACATATGTCACTCACTTATAGAGCTTTGTGTTCAAGGCACATTTACATCCATTTTCTCAGTGGAACCTCACATCCCTGTGAATTAGACAAGTCAGACGTTGTTTTCCAGTTTTACAGATGAGGAAACTGAGGCTCAAAGAGGAAAAGGTCACACAGAGTCAGAACTAGAACTCCAAGCCTCCTGAGATACCCAGAATTCTTTCCCCACCCTATGCTGCCTCTTCAATAAATAAATGAACAAAATAAATAAATAAAGCTTTCAAGGGAACCCTGAGCTTCTTGGCAGAGTGGGAGAGATCATGGCTGGATTTCTGGGGCCAGAATGTCTGTTTTCAGAAAGCTACAGAGGAATGCAGGGCCAAGAGAGGACTCTGGAGGACACACAGCTTCCTGGCCTGGGGACTGTGAACTGCCTTTGTTTGGAGACAGATTCTAAATGGACTGTGGGGAAGCAGGGCCCACACCTGTCTCGTTTCTGGGCCTCAGTTACTAGGAGCTCTCTTGGTATGCCATGAACTCCTGCTAATTGTGTTGGCCTTCAACACGAGAAAGAAGCTGGCTCTGGGCAGAGAAGTTCTGGAGTCCACTTCCTCCCACCCCAGGGTCAGAAATGTCACCTCAGAAGCCAGGTTGGCTAACTTTCAGCATGGAGGACCCCCTAAAGTTTGAGTTCTTATTTCACAGATGGGGAAGCTGAGGCCGTCTGAGAAGTGGCTGGTCCAAGGTCACATGGCTGAACACTACGACAGCAGGTACCGCTGCCCAGAGCCCTGTCCTCTGGGTATGTAGCTGGACATCAGCAGCAAACACTAGCACAAGTCCCATCTGGACTCCCTGGGCTGACCTGAGCTGGTGCCCAAGACCAGAGGCCACCTGAAAGGCCGAGTTTTGGCCAGTACAAACAACCATGGTTTCTCGTACTGTCAGCAAGACAGCACGGCAGCAGGGTAGGAATGGTGGGTGGCTTGGCTACTCAGTATTCCCCTGGGGGATGCTACTCTAACTGCTGGAAGGAGGGGGGTGTCTGCAGCTGGACACCAGAGACGTCCCACCAGAGGGATAGATTCTGAGCCAGAAGCCCGGGGGGAGATTCTTCATGTGACCATCCCAGAGATCAAACCTGGCCTCTAGTCCATCCTTTTCCTCTAGAAATGACCTCTGCAGCTCTCAGGCCTCCATCCTGCCAGAGGCCCTGTCACTTGGCTGGCCTAAGAGGGGAATGCTGGGTCTGAGCTGACTTCAGCCTGGCAGCCTCACCACAACTCCAAAAACCCCATGGTTCCCTGAGGAAATAATCCTTAATAATACAGAAAAGAGTCCTGAGAAAAAAAGGTCTCTGCTCTGCTCAGCTCTGCCAGTCTGCAGGTCCCCATTCGGCAGAACAGGCCCATGCCACCCACACACCCTGCACTAGTTCCACAGGATGGCTGCCTCCTCCCTGCAGAGCCTGGCAAGGGCTGGCCCCAGTGGCTTGAAGACTGGCCTTGTGTTTCACTTCTGACTTCTCAGGCCCCTCCTCTTGGTCCAGGCAGGGGAGTAGGAATGGTTGGAATCAAAAGCAGCCCTTAGCCCGAGTCACTCATTCGAGTGCAGACTGGACATCAGTGGCAAGGTGACCAGGTCTGCGTTAAAGCTGCCTAGGAGACCGCTTGGAGCTGCCACACAGTCCAGAGGGGCAAGGTCATGGGCAAAGCTCCAGTCAGATGTTCCCAGGTCACCACAGCTGGTCAAGCCCAGGAGTGGCCATTCCTCAAGTGGTTGGTTCCACTGTCCACTTATGGTCTCCGAGGGAGCCAGAGTCATTCCTGGGAGATCCTGTTTCAAATAGCCCTTGGCCAGGGCTGGTGGAGGCCAGCCTGCCTCAGCATCTAGACACGTCCTGAATTTGGGGCCAAGGCCATCTGTCAAGGGGGACTCTTCCTCCAGGCAGCCTGCCTTGATTGCCTTCTCCTCTGTGCATCTGATCTGTTTCAGGTAGCCCTGGAATGCCGCCATGGCTGTGTCTTCTTCTCCAGGCACCTCAGGCCCCAGGGGACTGACATGGGTCAAGGCTGAGCCACCCTGTGTATCCCGAGGCTGCCTCTCAGAGTTTTGGACTAGGCCTATGCCACTGTCATCCTGGCCTTGGCTGTCACTTCCCACCTGCTGCTCCCAGGTGGGCCCTGTGCTGGAGCTCAGGCTGGGCTCCTGCAAGCATATCCCACTGTCCGTGCTGTTGCTGCTGCCATTACTGCAGCTGTCCCCCAGCTCCGGGGACTCTCCCTTTTCCAGAGTCCCACTGGCCTGGGGGTGGAGGACAGGGAGGAGGAACTGGGGCTCCTCAGTCTGTAGAGATGGCTTGGTACTGCCAAAGCCACTGTCCGTGCTGCCATGCAAGTCCGAGTTCCTCAGCTCTGGGAACACCTTCGGGAAAGCCTCCTCGTCAAGGGGATGAATAGTGTCTTCGGTCTCTGGGCAGGGAAGCTGGCTGATAGGGATGATGGGGTTGGGCTTCTCAAAGACCTGGGGAGGAGAGGGGAGAGTGAGAGAGGTTGGGTCACCTGCAGGACTCCACCCCAGTGCTGCCAGGTGATGCCACAGGTCCAGGAGGGGAGCTTCAATGGAGGGGACTGCAGAGCCCAGATTACACTGCCATGTATACATTTTGCTTTGTTTTATAATCAAGCATTCCTCCTAATGCAGTTCTCAGTGTGGCTCAGGCCAGGTAGGTAAGAAGCTTGCATTCTCCGAGCCCAGATGGACTGACAAGCAGAAAGCAGCCTGCTGAAAATGGCGGAAGTTCTCAGGTGGCTCCATCCACAGTGTTTTTCAAACCTGAGAGCAGGTTAGACCCATCTAGAAGCACATCTCAAACTTTTCTGACTGTGACCCAAATCTAACATGATAACCAGTATATATAACGTATATAAATAACTGAGACCAGTTTCACAAAATAATTCTTATCACCGGTGTGCCATTAGATACTCTGCCTGTTCTGTTCTATTCTATTCTATCCCATCCTACCCATTTCATTTTAAAAAATTCGGGATGTGAGACACCAAATTAATTTCTCCACTCCCTAAGTTGTGACCCACACAAACAGGGTGGCTGCAGCATGCGGCATGGAATAAGGACAGAACTAGTAGCCAAGGACCTGCTCCCATTAGTTGGCAAGGGCCCCAGGGAAGTCACTTAATCCCTCTCTCCTCTGCTCCTTGGCCCCAGCCACACTGGTGTTCTTTCTACCCCAGGGCACATCAAGTGTGGTGCTGTCTCAGGGCCTTTGCACTTGCTGCTTTTGCTTGAATGCTTTTCTCTCAGCACTTGGCATGGCTGCGTCCTCCTCCTCACTCAGGTCTCTGCTCTGATGTCACCACTTCAGAGAGGCCTTCCTGACTGCCCTGGCCAAAGCAGTGCACTGGCCACTCTCTCCACACTAACTTTGTTTACTTCTTCCTAGCACTTAGTTCCTATAATTATTTATTTCCTCTCTCTCTCCCTCTGACCCCCCAACCATCACACACTTACTCATTCCCCACTCCCCAAAAGGACATGAGCTCCTCGAGGGCAGAAACTGTCTAGTCTTGTTCGCCACTCTGTCCCCAGAGCCTAAACTGAGCCGGCACATAGTAGGCACTCATAAAGTTTGCTGACTGACTTACTAACTCACTCTTGCACAACTGCCCTCATGTCCTTTGTATGTGATGACTCAAATGCAGCTCTTACTGGTTGAGTCCCTAATGCTGTCACATGGCTTGGTGATTAGGAATGTGTGCTGTGGAGCCAGACTTCATGGGATCAAATCCCAGCTCTGCCTCTTACCAGCTTTGTCACCGTGGCCAGATTATGTATTTTCTCTGTGCTTTAGTTTCTCATCTGTAAAATGGAAATAATGATAGAACGTGCCTCCTTATGTTGTGGTTAGTGCATGTAAAGTGGTAAGAACAAAGCATGGTACACAGAAGCACTCAAAAAGACGTGCTGAATTGAACTGTATGCTCCAATAATTCTGTAAGGGAAGTATTATTACCTTTATTTCCTAGAGGAGAAAACAGAAGCTCAGAGAAGTTAAATAATTTGCCCAAAGTCACACAGCGGCAAAAAAGAAAACCCTGGAATTTGTACTCAGCTGTCATGATTTGAAATCCCTTGCTTGTCCACTACTATTTAACTTGATGGTTGTTGAAAGATCAGATCAAACCAGCTAACAAATGAGAACGAACTAATAAAGATAAGAGTGCTCTGTGCATTGTAAGTTATTCATAAAGTTAGTGATGACTGTGATCATCAGATGAAGGAAATTGGGCTGTATTTATCATGAGCTGAAGGGCAAGTTAATTCTGTGATCCCAAGGTACAGAAGGAACACAAAAATAGAAGTTGCTTGCCATCTCTCTTGGCATTTTTGCATCTATGTCCATTTCACTACTTTGCATTAAAGTTAACAGTTTACACATTGGCTGTCTATCAAGCCCCTTGGGACCAGGGGCCACATTAATCAGCTTCTCGAACAACATTTTGCATGTAGTAGGTGCTAAGTAACTGTAGCTCAATTGCTACTTCATTCTTTCTAAATGCCTCTCCTGATTCACAACTAAGAATTTCCCATCCTGTGTACCAGGACCACCCTCCCCTCTACCTCTGCTTTCTGGTTCTCATGTCTCAGTCTCCCATCCCTGAGGGCAGGCTCTCTGGTGCATTCTTCTCTAAACCACCACCAGCCCAGCTCTAGGCCTTGCACATAGTCCATGCTCAAAGGGCTTGTTAAACAGGCCAATGAGCACGTTTGTGGAAGTGAGTCTCCCAGGAGCACAGAGAAAGGGCAAGCAAGGAGTTGCACAATTCAGCTAGACACAGGAAGAACTTCATAAACCCCTAGGGCTGTAGGAGCTGCCTGTCTCCAGTCTCCTCCTCCTATTCTTCTACCCAGGTACTAGAGCTGGGAACACAGTTCTTTTTTGCCTGGACAAAGACCCTAATTGGGACAGGCAGTCCCACCCCCTTCTTCCTCCAAAACTACCTGGAGTTCTTACACAGAATAATTTCAGAGAGTTTTTGTCTTTCTCCTCATTTTTCCTAGAGATCTCAGGATTCCTCTGGATGTTCCCCTTCAACTATGAGCTTCCCTTGGTCCTTCCCAGCTAAGTCCTTGGCCATCACACAGTCATGCCAGCTGTGGGGGCTGTGGCGGGTCACCTTGGATGCAGCCTGAACTCCAGGCCAGAGACAGGCTGAGGTTTGGGAAACGCTGCTCAATTCTTGCAAGCTGTGTTTTGGAGGCAGGCTTGCTACTAATGCGTCATTCATCAGTATAGTGCATCAAGAGGTTAACCCCGGTGGGGGAGGAGGTCCCAGCCTCCTCCACAAACCCCGCCATCCTCAGCCTCGCCTCTCCACTCTGCTCCTTCCCACTCTGACAGCAGCCCAAGAGCCAGCACTTCCAGCCTTCAATCTTCCTCTCCTGTGCTCATCACCCCTAGCAGTGGGAAAATGGGCTCCATCCCTGACTCTTCCTGGCTGTGTGACCCTGTGCATGTAACAATTTCTCTGTGCCTCAGTTTCCTCACTTGTAAAAGGAGGATAATAACTGTGCCTGTCTCAGAGACACTAGTGCACAGGGGCTGGCCCATGGCCAGTTGTCAGTGGATCATCACAAAACGACTCGTGGCCACTGCAGTTTGTGATTACTCAGCCCGTGTCCTAACATTCTCAGGACTGCGCTTTGCATTCGGCCCTCCCTATCCCCACAGTGCTTGATGATGGTGCCTCTGGATAATGGCAGGGCTGAGTGTGGAGGCAAGCTGAGAGAATGTGCTGTTGGGAGAGAAGGAGCTCCCTGCCTTCCCAGAGCTCTGGTGTGGCTGGGAAGGACGGGCCAGCGGACTCCCTGCGAGACTCACCAGGACAGCAGGCAGCTTCCCCCGACGCTGCACATACAGGTGGAGGGTCAGGCAGTAGGCCAGGGCTCCGCAGAGCAGCACAAGGAAGGCAAAGAACATGCTGAGGTTGGTCACGGTGAAATCTGCAGGCCCAGAGAGATATGTTTGTGACCTGGCACCACAGAACATGAAGGGACAGTCCCAAGACCCCTCGGCTACTCTCAGGAGCCACTTAGTGGGTGGGCCCAGGCTATCCCCATCAGGCAACCTCTAGGCCACAGCCCTAGATATGTCTAGAATCCTGCAACAATCCCTGCCTGGCCTTCTAACTCCTGCCCTGAGGATGCCTTGGTTCACATACTGTCTCTGCTCCCAGCTCTCTGCACACATCTCTGCAAGCAGAACTGTGAATGAAGCAGGATGGGACAGCAGGTGAGAACAGAGGCTCTGGGGACAGCTAGACCTGGGCTCGAATCCCAGCTTCATCACTTACTAGCTGTGGGACTGTGGACAAATTATTTGATCTCTCTGAGCCTTGGTTTGTTCATCTATAAAATGGGAAAAATTATAGTACCTACCTCATAAGATGGTTGTGCAGTACATGGCACTTATCATGTACCAAGTAATCTACTTATATCATCTGATCCTTAAAACAACATTAGGAGATAAATACTATCATCATCCCCATTTTTACAGATTAGGATCCTGAGGCACACAGAAGTTAAGTAACTTGCCCAAGGTCCTATATTTCCTAAGTGGTACACGGTAAAGCTGAGATTTGAGCAAAAGTACTTCTTATATCAATGAATGAATGTATAAAAAAGTTCTTAAGGCCACCTAATATAGTTTGTGCCTTACCCTATGGTGAGACTTAAATGACAACGAGCTGCTGAGTGACCTTTGTAAACTGGAAGTTATTGTAGGTCTCTAAGGAATCCCTTTCTTTGCTGGACTCTGTCCACACCTGACTGGGAACTGGCAGAGCACTGAGGGTTGGCATGCTTCCTCGGGCACTTGACGAATGCTGTCTTGAGTTGCTAGTTATGGCTTCCTCTGAGCACACTCTGTCTCCTCAGCAGACTGCAAGAGCCTCACAGGCAGGACCATGGCCTTCACAGCCTACATCCTCTCCCCTCCCACCACTGGGCAGTGGCCGAGAGCCTGGGCAGTGTTTGCTGACTTTAGCAGCTCTGGCGAGGAGTCAACTCAGTTCTGCTTCCTCTGGGGTGGGGGCTGGGGTGTAAGAAGAAGCCCTTTGTATCCCTGGCTCTGAGGTAGGACAGCAGAGGACGGCAACAAAGAGGAACTAGCATGGCTGACTGAGGGTGGCCTGGTGGGGGAGAGGTCCTGGGAAACGTAGCTGTGCTCAAGTGGAAGGTCCCAGAATCAGTAGACCTGGTTTTGCTTCCATGCCCAAGCTACATGACCCTGGGCAGTTGCTTGTACTGAGCCTCCATTCCCTCATCTCTAAAATGGAGACAACAGGCCCTGTGCTGAGATTGGAGAGCTACGTGGGGCAGAGCCTAACAGTGCCTGGCGCCAGCAGCCCAGAACGGTTACTTTTTGGACTGCACAAGGCCCTTCCAGCCTCCCTCCCCTCCCTGCAGCCCTGACCAACTCACATTGCTGCTTGGTGAGGACGATGCATTCCTCTTTGGACCATGCTGCCTTATTAATTCGGGAGCCGACAGATGGCTTCACCCTGACACAGAACTCTCCCACCTCTCCGGAGATTGGGAGACTGAAGCTTTCGTGATTTACCTTCTCGTTTGTGAACTGAAATGAAAATGACAATGAAAAAAAATCCTCTTATTTCATGGCACACAGAAGCTGAGAGCTGGAGGGACCTCTAGAGATGACTGCAGCCAACCCCCATGGTCTTTTTTCTAAGATAACAAACCCTGTGATTATAAATGCAGTCCAGTCTCTCTCACTACCAGAACTTATTTTGTATTAAAAGAGAAAAGGAAGTGTTTTATAGAAGCTGAAGATCTTTCCTGAAGGGAATAGAATAAACTGTGGTAGAGAGGAAAGAGGATGGATTTTGCAGGTTCCAGACATCCCAATTACAGGCGTGTCCTTGGGTAAGTTACATAGCCTTTTGGAGCCTCATTTCCTCATCTATAAAATGCAATAAAATATTCACTGTGAAGAGATCAAAAACATTAGCTGTAACATGCCACGTGTGGCACCCGACACACAGAAGGCAGTGTCTTCCCCGCCATCTCAAAGGAGCACAGGTTTGAGGGCTGAGGTCATCTCACCTCCCTCCTGTGCCCCCCAGGACCTCCCTCTCCTCTGCCAGCAGAATTCCCCACTGGTACACAAAAGCTGCTTCCAGCCCAGGGAACGGGGAAGCTGGGAGAGCCCTGGCCCTGCAGCTTTGGGGAACCCCATACCGTATAGTTTCCCGGCACCTTGCGAATAGCAACCTCGTACTCGCGGAAATGACTGAAGATGCTTTCATATGTGTCGCCCACGGGGGCCATCTTAGGCCTGGGTGGCTGGATCGTCCCAAAGATGAAGCCATTCTGCATCTCTAGTTTCACGCTGCCAACTGTCAGAGTCACTGAGTGGGAAGGCGAAACCATGAGGCCTGAGAGCTGTGGAGGGCCTGGGCATCCTGCCCATGACTTGCCTCCAGGGTCAAGCTTTACCCACCCTAAAATCTGGGCCATAGCAGAACATTAGGACTTCTTTGGAGTGCATTAAAAATACAGACAACCTGGGCCCACTCAAGACACAATGAATCTGAATATCTCAGGCTGGGACCTGGAGATATATATTTTCAACACACTCCTTAGGAAATGTGTCTGCAGCCAGCTGAGCACCAGCCTGTGGGCAGGCATTTGGGAGACAATGACCTCCTAGACCATCGGCTCTGATTCTTTTTTTTTTTAAAAGATGACTGGTAAGGGGATCTTAACCCTTGACTTGGTGTTGTCAGCACCACGTTCTTTTTTTTTTTAAAAGATGACTGGTAAGGGGATCTTAACCCTTGACTTGGTGTTGTCAGCACCACGTTCTTTTTTTTTTTAAAAGATGACTGGTAAGGGGATCTTAACCCTTGACTTGGTGTTGTCAGCACCACGCTCACACAGTGAGCTAACTGGCCATCCCTATATGGGATCCTAACCCGTGGCCTTGGTGTTATCAGTACCACACTCTCCCGAGTGAGCCACGGGCCGGCCTCTCGGCTCTGATTCTGAATCTTGCAGAGCTAGCTCACCCTGCATACAGAACATGCTCAATCCCAGTCTGTGGAATGGAAGGGTCCCATTGAGTTCAGGGCTTATCCTTTTCTCTTCCCTCTCCAGAGAGGTTTCCAACTTGTCTTCAGTAGCGACCTCTCTACTCCAAAGGGATGACCTCTGAAATTTCACCCCTAAAGGCGGCAAGGCCTCATCCAAATTCTGCCCAAGGCTTGCTGCCCTATGCTGAGTATTTACAGATTCGCTTCCTCCCCTTGAACCCTATAAGTTCACAGGCCTGGCCCGTGTGACTCAGCGGCCTTGACCCACCCCAAGACCTCTCTTCTGTAGGATAAACAACTCCAGTTCCCTTTTAAATCTCAGACGACTTTGGCTATTTTCACCTATCTCCAGAGTCTCTACTCAGGCCTGTTTGGGCAACTAGTTTCCCAGACAGGAAGCTTGGGTGACATGGCAAGCTCTATGGAACACAGAGAAAAGCTCTAGCCTAGATTTTCTGGCTGGAAGAGACTTCAAAAGCCATGTTCTAGTTCCAGGGGAGGAAAAGCACCTTCATCCCTAGAGAAGCGGGTGCTGGCCAAGGTCCAATTGGAGTGCTGGATGCCGTCCACTGCCCGGACTTTGGCCCGGTAACCATTGCTGTGGTACAAGTCCAGGGTCACCGTGGTGAGATCACAGGACTGTGCCAGGGTCTGGCTACAGTTGGGAATGGTCTTCCAGAGCTCTTTTCCATACCTGAGGAGAAAGCAGGGTGGGCACTGGGAGAGGAACTTATACTCAAACCTATCTCCTTTAAGAGGGAAGCGAGAGGCCAGGGGAGAAAACTCCCATAATGGGAGAAACTGGTTACAGCCCTCAGGGTATTTCCTCTAGTCCAGGGCATTTCATTGCAAGCAGGTCTCCCTTGGTTCTGGGACCCAGTACCAATTTCACTGTAGTCTAGAAGACTCTTAGATGGCAATACAAGTAGCTCAAGGTCCAGCTCCTTCAGAAAGACTACCCCCTGCAGCACAGCCTAATTTCTCCCTTCTTCCAATCACATTTGCAGTCATTAGGGTTTCCCTGTTCTCCAACTATATTGTGGATGTTTTTCCTGCTTTTTCCAGTAATATGGAAAAGACTTGAGGGCAAAGGCAATAAATACCTTGGTCTTCTCACCCCACAACTCCCAGCACATTGCTCAACACATGTGAGACTCAATCAGTACTTGTCAACTGATGGATAGGTGTTAGGGTCCCTACCGGTCTCAGTTCAGGAGAACAGGAGGGACCCACGCACTCTCTCCCCCACCTCCCTCCTCCCTTCCCCTTTCTTACCTCATAATTGCCACTTCATAGTAGGTATTTTTAGATTGATTCTGGATCGGCATCCAGTGGATGACGTGGTGGAAGAATTCTGCTTCAAACCACACAGATGGAGGTCCGGGCAGTTCTGTCCCCGGGGAGAAGGGTGTCAGTACCAGAGCTGGCAGAGCCCACCCCCAGGGACAAGGATGGTGCTGATGAGAAGAATTATAACAGCTCCCATTGACTGAATACTGTACGAGGAGATGAGCACTGTGCCAATTATGTTACATATGTTTCATCTAACTATCACAACAGCCCTACATGGTAGGCATTTATTACCCCAATTTTACCAAAGGATAAATGGAGGCTCAGAGAGTTTAAGTGACTTGCTCAAGGCCAATAGAGCTAGCAAGGGGCAGAGTGAGGACTTGAATCCAGAAATGTCTGATTCCAGAACTAGTGTAGTGTCCTTAAATCTCTGCCCTGTGCTGTTTGTGATCAGAAGCCCCAGCAGTGGCTGAAAAGAGCCAAGATGAGGGCTAAGGCATGTCGGCAATGAGCTCTCAGATGAGCTAGTCCCTGGCTCTGCCCAGTCTCTGTCCCTGCTCCAGTACCATCCCCAGTCTGGTCCCCCCCATCCTTACACCTGGTCCCCAATCTGGCCCCAGACCAAGGTCACCTCTCTGAGATTCTTTGGGTACATAGATACCCTGCTTGTTGACATCTGCCTGTTGCTCTTCACAGGTCTCCTGGGCTTCCCAAGCTTGCCCATTCCCTAGCTTCTAGAAAGGCTTTACCTATATGCAGACACCCAACCTCAGGCTGGGTGAAAACAGACAGAATGAACCAGCTCTAGTTCTAGACTGGGTTGAGGACATTTCCACAAAGAGCTAGCAGACTTGGCTCCAAGGTGAGATACTAAATACCAATCCCTATCTCCACTCTCCTACCCCTTTGTCACCAACACACACCACTTGATGGGAAACACCCATTTCAGGAACCTCAAACCAGCATTGGCCAGTGTGATTCTGGGCAGATTATTTAACCTCACTGTTAGTTAGTAAGAGTGCAATAAACACACCTATTTTAAGAGTCTTCCTGATAAGGGGAATGAAGTATGTGCAAGACCAATAACTGCTTGGTTCCCCTTCTCACCTCCTTGATCCCTTAACATCTCTCCTTTTGAAATCAACTCTGCTACTACTTCACTTGCTCCGACCTGTCACCGTCTCTCTAATCATACTCCTTTTTCTTCTGACTCTGTCATTCTCACCTATACAGAAAATACATCCGTGTCTCTTAACTTTCTTTCATATACTGTCTTTGATCCTCAAGTCTGTGTCTCGATTTCAAAACATTAGATGGAAAGTGAAAAGTGCAGCCAGTCTTTGTGGTGTTCGGGCTGCACATCCCCAACTCAGCTTTCGATCATGTGAATGGCTGATTGCATGTCTTACTTTGTATTTCGGCGTCATGTAGAAGTGGTTTTTGTCCTTGCTCACCCTGTCTCTGCTCTCAGTCCCCTCCAGCTCCAGGCCCTCTCATTCTCTCTCTCTCTCTCTCTCTGGGGTTTACTCTTCTCCTTGCAGAAGCTTTCCAGGAAAGCTGGCTGGTTAGGAGCCTGAGCTAAGGAGAAGGGGTAAGGAAGGAGCAAGGCAGGTGGCAGTGGGAGTGAGCTGGGGGCTAAAGACGGAGCAGGGAGGGGGTGACTGGTGAGGGTGGGGTACAAGGGCGGGGATGGAGGTGAGATGGGACAGGGGCAGAAAGAAGTTAATTGCAGGGCTAGGTTAGGGAAGGGAGAGTCAGAAGATCAAAATCATTCCCCAGGGGGACAAGCAGTCCCATTATTTGAACCAGGACAGCAAAAAAGCCAGAGCTAAATTTATGGTGGATGATGAGTTGGTGGGGAGGAGCGGAGCACCTGGTCTTGCACATACTTCTCTATCCACCCCCCATTCCCCATCAGCTTCTTCCACTTCCACAAAAGGTGAGCCTGAGACCCAGTCTTGCCAGAATGGGGAGCCCCAGCCGGGGACTGAGGAGGTAATGGGCGCCCCTCTCCCCAGAGGGCCAGCCAGATGGGGTTCTCGAGGAATGCAGAACTTTAACGGAGAATTGAGGACGCTTCGGAGTCGAGTCTGGCGACCCACACAGCCCAGCGGGGCGGGCGTGGAGAGGGCAGAACCGGGTCCCGGAGTCTTACCGTGCGCGCCCGAGCCGAGGCGCAGGCTGAGGAGCGCGGCCAGCGATACCACCAGGCGCAGCAGCATCCTGGGCGCGCCGCATCGTCCAGAGCCGGAGCCGGCCAGCGCCACCGGCCGCTGCTCTGCGGTGTTGAGACTGAAACCTCCGGCCGCCGGTCCCGCCCGTGCCCCGCGGGGCTGACGTCACGGGGCGGGGCCTAGGCACGCCCCGCCCCCCGGGCCGCGGCGTCCGGAGCCCGGCACTGACCCGGTCGGCTGGAGGGGTGGGCGTGCGACTGTCCCGGGTGGAAGCGAGGCTCGGGCCACTTCTCCCCTCCCCCTCGCCCCTTGGCTCTCAGCGTCATCGGGTCAGAGCGGTCCGGGCAGCCTGGCCGGCTGTGTTTGTGTATGTGCATGGGGGCGGGAGGGTGTCGGAGCGCAGATGGAGAGGAATACCCTGGACCCTTTGGGTGCGGAAGGTGGGGTGAGGGTGTCGGAGCTGATTTTATTAGGTGAACAGGCTTGAAATTAGAGCTGTGGTGCGGCCTCTTCGAGTTGGGAAAGGTGATTGTCCCAGGAGCTGAGGTCAGGTGTGCGAGGACATGTACGTGAGTCGTGGTGTTACCCTAGGACCTCCGGGTAGGGCTCTGAGCTAAACCAGCTGTAGACTAGGCTGTCCCCTACCTGGCTAAATAATTTTGGAGGGGTGTCCATGACCTCTCCCAGCCCTTTTTGTTTTCCCTTGCTTGCTTGAAATTTCATGTGCAGAGCTATTTTTCTGCTGGGTGATAGCGCTGCTGGAGGACTCAAGCACATTCTCAATCACACATCTCTGTGTCACTTGGCTCATCTGACACTTCCCTCCAGGTGCACCGAAGGTGTAAGGATTGGGAGACAAACATTGCCCACCTCACTTTTTATTGGAGGGTGACACCTGCTTCAGAGTGTGTGTGTGTGTGTGTGTGTGTGTGTGTGTGTGTGTGTGTGTGTGTGTGTGTGTGTGTGTGTGTGTGTGTGTGTGTGTGTGTGTGTGTGTGTGTGCGTGTGTGTAGGTGCTTACAGTCATATCTGATTTGCAGTGATAAGTCGGTCTGGATTTGGATTCAACGAAGTACAGGGACCAAAGAAGGGGGGCTCAGAACATTTCCAGGCTGGGGTTGCGGTTACCAAGCTCTCCCTGCTCCTGGGAAGTCCCTGGCAGTACCCAGTGCCCACACTGAAGGCCTTATCCACGGTAGCTTTTGAGAAAGGGGCCCTAACTTGGGTATGTGTGACATTAGCAGTGTGTGCTTGGCATAGGAATTAGTGAGGCATTATCTCCATAGGGTGTTTGTAGAGATGTAAACCCTGTTTAAATATTTTCAGAGTAGGAGTCTCTCTGCCCAGTGGCCTGCACTGAGAGTGTGCCAACTTGGCTGGGGGTGAGAGTTGGGGGGGAGGTCCCATCTTGTATTTGAGGGTCTACATTAAGATTAGAAAGGCTTTACTCTTGATAGTCAGTCAAGGCCAGGAGTACACCAGCTATGTGGATAGTGAAGAGTGCTATCCACAGGCCCACTAGGACACATAGTCACTCAGGGCCACCCTCAGTGACATATAGCTCATGTTATACCCTCAGGTCAGCTGGGAGGGAGAGCCCCAGAGTTTTTTTTAATGTGTGAGGATGTTTTTTGCATTCTCCGTTGCTCAGCTGAGAAATTAAGATGGCAAATTTCTTGGGAGTACCCGGGCATGACACAAGGGTGTGGCTGCCTTCTGAAGGGACTTCTTAGTTCCCACTGACCTGTGATGTTTCTTCCTGAACTTGTCTTTACTTGTAGTTTTTTGTTAATTTATAAGAGTTTAAAAGTCTTACCCTATTACATGTTGAAGGAAGATCAGGATTCTTAATTCATTTATATGACCACTGTTCACTGCACACTCACTATGGGGCAGGCACTGTGCTGAAGCTGGGAGTAAAAAGGCAGTGAGAGCATGGTCCCTTCCCCCAAGAAGCAGTCTAGCTAGACACAGAAGTCAGCAGAGATTTTAATATGCAGTGTTAAAGTGTTCTGGGAAGGAAAGTGCAGGTTAGTGTGGGGACAAAGGGCTTATGTACTCTATCACACTGGGAGGATAGGGAAGACTTCTAGGGAGGAGATGACATCTAAGCAGAGACTTGAGGGAGGAGTAGGACGTAGTTAAGTGAAGAGCAAATAGGGAGGGGTTTCAGACAGAGGTAAGTGGAGCTGAGGTATGTGGTGATGAGGGAAGATGGCATTTTTTAAGAACCCCGTAAAGTGGATAAGTTGGCATTCCTGTTTTAAGATGAGAAAACCTCAATGGCAGACATAGCTGAATACCTTGCTCAGGGCAGAGCCAGCATTCAAATGCAGGCAGTTCTGATGTATCCTGCTGCCTCACAGAGAGCACCCAGAATAGGACTTAGGTCAGGCACATGATTACCATACCTTAAAAAAAAAAAGAAATTCGTGTTTGTTTTGTTTTGTATTATTACTCACTCTCGATGTTCTGAAAAGCCCACCCTACAGTTCAGTGATTTCTGGTATTCACACCAGTACTGGGATGGGTGATAGAAAGTAATTATAATAGTATCTTCTGTTTATTGAGCTCTTATGAAGTTCCAGGCACTATGCTGAATACATGTTGTGGCTGGCCGCACTGGCCAGAGGCATAGCAATCCCATTCCTCTTCCTGGGCACACGAGGCAGCTATATTTCCCAGTCTTCTTGCAGTTAGGTGGAATATGTGACTGGGTTTTAACCAACGTGAAGTTGAATTGATGGTGCCATGTCCAGGCCTGGCCTCTAACTCTGTCTTTGCCACTCTGCCAGCCATCGGCAGGGGGGTCCAGTGGAGGACTCCAAAGGGATAGAAAGAACTTGGGTCCCAGTATCCCCTATTGGCGGAGAGCTGTGCAGGAAAGACACCCAATCTGCATCATCCTGTGACTAGAGTAAGGAGGGAACCCATGTTCAAGCCACCGAGATTTGGGGACTTTTGCTATAGCACCTGGTGTTAACTACCCTGATTAATCTGCAAATGTCTCATTTTGTCCTTATAACCCCCTAGTGAGATGGACATCATTGTCAATGTTTTCTAGATGAGGAAATGAGGTCAGAGACTAAGTCACTTGTCCACATCACTCAGTCAGTAAGTAGCAGAGAGAAGAGTTTATCCCCGGTCTGTTTAACTCCGGAGCTCATGTTTTCACTGCCATGGGAACAATGCCCCTTCCAGTCCTGGGAGAGTTCTTGCAATAGACAGATGTCAAGTGAGTTGAGAGAGAGAGAGTGGGGCCGGGAGACAAGGAACAGCTCAGGGCTGAGACAGTGTCGTAGAGAGTGGAGGGATGTGGCAAGGCCCAGGGAGCCTGTGGGCAGAGTTGGGTGGACGTCTTGCCTCCCTGGCCACAGTGGGAAATTTTTAGGGCAAATCTTAAGATCTGGATAGTTCCATTGTCTCGTTTTCACTTTACTTCATCTTGGCCTTTAGGATGAGGCTTCTGAATGGGCATCACTGGGGGTAGGGTGGGCATCTCAATGGGTAGGAAGTCTGTGCTTGAGTGTGGTAAGAGGCACAGCTTGCAGTTTATGTCCTTGGATTAGGGAAGTCCCAGGCCTTGTGATCACTGTGTCAGAGCTACACATAACAGGGAGAGAGACCTAGAGGGAACCAGCCCCGAGAAGGTGACCGAGAGAAGGAAACTGCCTGGGAAACTGAGTAGTCGTTGTGTCAAGGAGAATCGCAGATGCAAGGTGAGGGGCCCATGAAGGGGCAGGGTGGACCAGCTCAACCCAGCCCCAGCCCAGGAAGAACCTTCTGGCTGTGGTCTACGGAACCTAATTAATGCCCACATCCCTCCACTGTCTGCTTGACTGCCTCCTGGCTGAGTATAAAAGAGCTCAGAAGGGACAGACCCTCTTCTGAATGTTTCTGTCTACTTGGTTTGAACAATGGCTCTGTGGCTTGAATGAGGAGTCGCTTGAACTTTAGCTGGGTTAATGACAGATATCCTTGAAGGGTTTTGAGCAGGAGAGGGACATGGCAGGTTTGCATTTTAAATAAAAGAGGAAACGCAGAGCATGGAGGTGACTAGCCAGGGTGATTCACCTAGTTAGTGGCAGAGTTAAAACCTTGGTGTCCAGATTGAAATTCAACTCTCTGCCTGTCAGGCCACAGCAGCTACATTTGTGGAACTACAAAGACAGTGTAAGGTTATCATGCCCATCAACTTAGAGGGAAGAGGAAGAAATACTGATCTCCCAGATGAGGGACCTCCTCTGCTTGTTCACTTGAGTCAGCAGAGCTGGGGTTAAAAGCCTTCTCACTCGTGGAAACTATCTGGGACACTTGTTGGTCAGTGCCCAAGGTGGGAGGAACCCATGGGCCTCTGAAACAGGAAACCTATTTCTAGCCACAGCTTGGCTATTACGCCCTGAGTGCCCTTAGACCAGTCCCTTCTATTAGCCATTGGCAAGACTGGAATCATCGTAACCTTCCTGGGCTGCTGTAGGCTGGATACAAATGTGTTCTGACAATTGATAAAGGCTCCCTAGATGGAGGGGGGGTGGTGAGTGGGAGAAATATTCAGTAGAAACTTCCTCATACTACCTGGAGGGAGCCAGCCCTTCCGCCCATCACCTGGATTTGTTTGGCCTCTCTCCAGGCTGTGCCTGCACTAAGTCCCACACACCACCCCAGGACAACCAGGGCCTTTGACTGTACCTGGGACACCTCCCTCCACCAGGGTGCTTTTTAAGAAAATCATCTTGTCAGGTAGGATGTGGACCTAGTCCATTGTCATTGCTTTGTGAACTTGGGATGCAAGAGGTTAGAACAGAACATTGACAGAAGTATCCCAAGTCATTTCAAGAAACAGTTATCTTCCTTCTGTAGTCAGATGGCCTTGACTTCTCCAGTTTTTAAAGGTGTCATTTCTCCTTAATTCTTTTTAAAAAAATTTTAATTGGAACGTATTGGTTGTACTCCCCTTAATTCTAAGATCACAATAGTCAGAGTCCCCATCCCAGGAATGCAGGAAGTCCATTCCCAGAGTCATTCTGGTGGGCTCGTAGCACACCTTT